CGCGGGGTGGGGGGCAACGCGGGGGCTGCGGGCAGGGAGCGAGGGCACCGGCTGCTCTGACGGAGCTGCGGGTCCTCCCTGTTCCCCCTGAGCCTCCCCCAGCACCCCCCCCCACCACACAATTCCTATATACAGAGTTCCCCCGTGGCCCTGCTCTCGCCCCCGGGGAGCGAGGGGATGGGGAGGGTGCAGGAGAAGGGGGAAACGCGACGGGGTCCTGTCCTCCCCACCGCCCCGGCGCAGCGGGGTCCCAGCCCGGCCGGAGGAGGCTCCGTGGCAGAGCCGGTGGCACGGGGAAGGCTCTCCATCACCCCCAGCCCCGGGTTGAGCTGGGGATGTGCAACCCCGCTGCGGGTGGCTGCCCAGCAAACCCCAGCTGTAGGACCTGGGGAGAAGGAGGAGGGTCTCTGGGCTGTGCCAGACCCCAACGGGTGGCAACTGCTCGCCACCAGCTTCCCGGTCGAGCCAGCCACTTGCCGACACCTCCCTCCTAATGCCCCCCGCTCAGCAGGCAGGGGCTGGGCACATCGGGACGGGGATGAGAAGCTCTCCCGGGGAAGAAGCAGGGAGGAAGAGGGAGACAGGGGGATAACGAAGCTACAGCCCCAGAAACCCACCCCTGCCCTGGGGTCCGGCGGGGAGGCAGGCGTGGGGGGAGCGGGGAGGCGGCGGGGGGGGAGAAGGCTGGGGGCTGCCCGCCCCTGCACCCCATCGGCCGCGCGGCACCGATCGGCCCCCGGTACCTCGCCGCTTCCCAGTCACTCTCTGTTGCAAATGTACAGGTAGATCGGTTGGGACTGAGTCCACGGGGCGGCCGGGGGGGGCTGTTACTGCGACGCCTGCGACGTGGGGTTCTCTGACTTGCTCTCCTGGCTGGAGGGCGGTTTGCTGTTCCAGGGGCTGTTGGCCCCCAGCGCCGGCGAGTTGTTGAAGCTGTCCTCGTCGTCGATGCCGTTGGCGGCGTCAAACTGCGTGTTCTCCAGCCGGGTGATGAGCCGCTCGTCCTCGTCCCCAAACTCCCCCCCCATCAGCGTGGGCTCGCCTACCACCATCACATCCTGAAAGGGGAGACGGTCCCGAAACATAATCGAGGTGGGGGGAGCCCCGGCCGCCAGACCCCCCCTCCCCCAACACCGCAGTCCCTTTCCCCAGCCACAGGGCCACCTCCTCCTCGTCCCCATCGCAGGAACCCAAGGAGCGGGCACAATGTGGGGCAGCACATCCTCACACTCTTGTCAGGGAGTAAAGCAGCTCCGGGAAGGCAGCTGGGACACCCTTTCCTTCTCCCCATCACCCGGAGAGAGCAGAGGGGGCTTGGACAGGCAGTCCCCGGGGGTTTCTCCCTAGCCACTCCCAGGGTCTGGGGCAGGGAGCCCTCCCCTCCACCCCGGGGGAGGAAGAGAGAATGGAAACGGGATGCTTACAGGTACCTGACTGGACAGGGCAAAGGTGCTGGCCGGGCTCTTCTTCTTGCTGTTGCTGTTGTTGGTGTTTCCCCCACCGGAGCTCATGGTGCTGCCCCCTGACATCTTCCTTTTCCGGCGCTTGCTGGGCTGCTGCCGCGCTGGCTCCGCTGGAGGAGGAGGGAGAAATGGTCAGTCCTGATGAGAAGGAGATGGTGCCCCCAAGCCCCTTCTCTGCAAGGACCATATCCCCGCCCCGGGGCAACATCACCACCCTCCTCCCCTCTGCAGCTCCATGGTCCCCGCAGTGCAGTCCTGGGAAACTCTCCATGAGCCAGCAATGGGCCCTGGTGGCCAAGAGGCCAGTGGGATCCTGGGCTGCGTAGGGAAGAGTGTGGCCAGGAGGTGGAGGGAGGTCATTCTCCCCCTCTGCTCTGCACTGGGGAGGCCACAACTGGAATCCTGCCTCCAGTGCTGGGCTCCCCAGTTCAAGAGGGACAGCGAACTGCTGGAGAGAGTCCAGCGTAGGGCAACAGAGAGGATGGAGGGGTTGGAGCATCTCCCTGATGAGGAAAGGCTGAGAGAGCTGGGGCTCTTCAGCCTGGAGAAGAGAAGGCTGAGGGGAGACCTTCTTCATGCTGACAAGTCTCTAAAGGGGGGGTTGAAGGAGGATGGAGCCGGACTCTTTCCAGTGGTTCCCAGGGACAGGACGAGGGGCAACGGGCACAAGCTGGACCATGGGAAGTTCCACTCCAATGGGAGGAAGAACTTGTTTGGGGTGAGGGTGGCAGAGCCCTGGCAGAGGCTGCCCAGGGAGGGTGTGGAGTCCCCTTCTCTGGAGATCTTCAAGCCCCGCCTGGATGCTCCTGAGTGATGTGCTCTGGGCAGCCCTGCTTTGGCCAGGGGGTTGGACTGGAGGATCTCTAGAAGGTCCCTTCCAACTCTGACAATTCCCTGATTCCGTGACAGGAGAGGGTGCAGGGAAGATTTCTGTCCCTGCTTTGCTTTCCACAAGCAGTTGGCAGCCCCCGGACAGGGAGTGCTGGTTGCCTGACTCGCCACCCCCAGCCTCACGACCCGAGGCCAGGGCCAGGCTTTGGGGCTGGGAGAAGCCCGTGCCGAGGGCAGGTCCTGTGGGGCAGCCCCAGAGAGCTGCAGGCAGCCAGCGGGCAGCGTGAGACTCACCAGGAGGAGCCACCATCCGCTGCCACTTCTGGAAGAGGCAAGTCTTGAGGCAGTCCCGGGGACTGAGGCTGTAGGTCTTGTGCCGTGACATGAGCTCCTGCATTGGTTCTAGGATTACACAGAGCTGCGGGGGAGCAGACAGGACACAGGGTTAGATCACGGTGCTCCAGGCCCCAGCAAAAGCCCCTTTGTGGGGCAGCCGGGGCTGCGCTGCACCGACCCCGGCCACGCTGGGAGCCTGCAGGCTCTGGCAGACCTACAGCCCCACAGCTCTCCGCGCCCCATCTGCAAGATCCTCCTTGCAGAGCCTGCCCCGCTGCCTCCCCACGTCCCAGGGCAGCCAGGCCTCAGGCAGCTGAGAGCACAGGACGTGGCCACCCCAGGCAGAGCTGCCTCCCCTCCTCTTCCCACACACACTTACTCGGAGGTAGTTGAGTGTGGAGTTTGAGAGCCCACAGCGGGTGATGTTCTTGGACAACTGGTCCAGCATCTGGGGGTCCTGTGCCTGGGAGCGAGAGAGACAGATGGCTCAGCTGCATCCAGGCTGGGGATGATGCCCCGGCCTGCGATGGGGGACAGGGTTGAGGGTCCCCCCCCTAAGCTGTGCAGCAGGAGCTCGGCAGCCCTGTGTCACTCCCCGAGGGGTACTCACATGCATGGCGAGGATGCTGCGGGGGATGAGCTCTCGATGCTGGCGGATGCTGAAATGCCACGTCTTTATCCTCATCATGTCGTCGAACATGAACTCCAGGTAGAGCCGCCCCTCCACACACACCTGGGCAGGGCACAGGGTCAGGCACAGGCTGCCCCCGCTCCCCCCAGCCCACATCCCCTGGGAACCCACTGCTGCACCACGGGGACACCCTCCCAGTGGCTCACCCCTGCCTGCGGGGAGACTCGCCCCAAGCCAAACCCACCCCTTCTCTGCAAGAAGGAGATGCTGCAGGGGCTGCAGAGACACTAAGCTGGGACACGTGGGGTTACAGCATCACACTCAACAAGGCATGGAAATGGGTGTCCCCTGCCCTGTGGGACCACAGCCACGCTCGACCAAGGCACAAGGGTAGCCGTGGGTGCCACCAGTACCTGGGTGAACATGGGTTTGCCGTGCTGGGTAACCATGGTGCACTGGTCACAGTCCAGGGAGACAAAGTTGTTGTGGAAGGATTCCTTGGGGTGCTTGAGCACATAGTAGAGCTCTGTGGCCCCCCCTTCAAAGATGCTGCGGAAGTAACGGGGAATCAGAGTCCGGCCGATCGCTGGAGCGGGAGAAGGAGGAAGATCATGTCAGTAAACGTGGCTCACAGGGACATGCCCTGGGGCTGCACGGGCAGAAGGTTCCCCAGGTCCAGCTGGCTGGAGCTGAGCTCCAACCCCCTGCCCGCACCCCCCAGCACAGCGCAACCGCCCCATCCCTCGCCGGAGGAGCAATGCCCTGGGGAAGGAGGGCTCAGGCTGCTACTCACTGTATCTCTTTGGTCCATCCTCCAAGCAGAAAGTGATTGTTAGCATGGCGTCATCCTCGAAGAACTCCGTGGTGAAGGCATCCCACCACAGATTGTCACATTCCTAGGGACAGCAGAGAGACGCCAGGTTACTGGGAGGGGTGACAGACGGACAGACGGATGCAGCCACGCGCTCAGCCTGCGGAGTGCTGTGCTCCTGGCTGAGCGCTCGGAGACAGGGATGATGAGCCCTGTCCTGCAGCCAAGAGAGGGACAAGGCGCTTGGGGACCTGCACAGCCCAACAGGACCCCACTTGCCAAGAGGATTCCTCTTAGAGCCAAGGCAGCTCGCGAGGGCGGGCAGTGCAGAGGACCCCATCCCCAAAACACACACCTGGGAATGTGCCCCCCCTCCCAGCTGCCCCCCCTCTTCCCCAGCTCCCCACCTCTGTCCAGTTCTGCAGCCGCTTGTTGAGCTCAAATATCCTGTAGTCGGTCTGGTTCCCGTACGGCGTGTGCCTCCTGCCCGGAGAGCAGAGCAAGCAGTCAGAGGGGTGGGGGGGCAACCACGGGGTGGGGAGGGGTCCCGAGCCTGTGGCAGGGGACACACAGCCCCTCCAGGGCCGGGCAGAGTCCGAGCAACCCCCTCGCAAACCCCCGGGGCGAGCAGCGTGCCAGCCCTGCCGAGGCATCCTTGCCACATGCCCAAACTCTCCTCCCAACAGGGCCCCCCCCTAGACCCCCCCACTTACCCGATTCCAGGCTCCAGGTATGTCGGTGGGTACATGGGAGTAGGTCTGGGGGGGTCAAAGAAACACAGGCAGGTCAGTGTTGGTGGGGGGCTCCATCCCTACCCGTTGGAGCTCCCCCTCCCCTGCCTCCAGCAGCAGGCGGTCGGGCTTGCTGGAGGTGAGACCCCCCCACGGTGCAGGCTGCACCCTGGCTGCCCCGTGGGGTGACCTGCACCCCTGAAACTGGGCTCTGCTCCCACACCAGTGGCTGCTCCACCACCCCCGGGACCCGGCCCGTGGCTCTCCGGGGACATGCCTGGCTCCTCTGCGGCTGGGCCAGGTGCCAGGCAGGACAGAGGTTGGAGAAGGGGCCGTTTCGGCAGGAGCTGGGAGCGCTCCCTGTCCTGGGTCATCCTGGGTCTGGCCCCACACAGCTCAGGGACCTGGGGGATCTTCTTCATCCCAAATATCCCCCTTTTCTCCCAGTCCCACCCAGCTCCCATCCCCTCTCTCCCCATACACTAACTCAACTCCATGGCAGTCTCCGTATGCCACTGGGGAGCATGGCAGAGAGACCCTGGGGTGCAGACCGCAGAGCACCCCCAACTTTGCAGACCCCTCCCCGAGCCCCAGCTCACCCCACATCTCGATCCAGCATGGTGCCTGGGTGGAAGGGGGGGAAGGCGTTGCCGTTCGGGGGCTCCTTTGGCGAGTACAGCTTGAACGACTTAGAGGAACAGCCTGGAGAGAGAGGGGGGGACATGGGTCAGCCGGGGGGGACACCCTGCTGCGAGGAGGAGGAGGAGGAGGAAGGATGCAGGATGAACCAAGCCCCCACCAGCACAGCCCCATTGCTCCTCTGTTCTGCCCCCCGATGCCAGCACAGCCCCTTCACCCCCCCCCAGCTCCAGGCATGCAGGATGCGACCCACAGGGTCAGGGCTGAGCCCTCCAGATCAGCAACCAGAGGGGGTCCAGCCCCATCTCAGGGCCTTCCCACTGGTGCCCATAGTTTGCCAGTTCTCAGCTGGCTGGGCTCTGGGGATGGTGCCCAAAGGGGACACCCCAGCTGGTGAGCTGGGGA